CAAAAAAAAAAAAAAAAGTCTATAATATCTTATGGCTAAGGAGATAAGGAAATATAGGTACTTTTTTGCATCTTTTTTTGGTATTGTTTTGTGTTTTCTTTCCATTTTTCATTATTCAGAAATTTTCAACTCACCCCACATACTATCCACAGAACCCCCTCCTAACCATATCCAACCCCAGCCCTCTGTCCCAAGCCACCCCACTTCTGCCAAATTGAGGTCTTTCATAGGGAGTCAGCAGAGCCTTGCACACTGAGCCTAGACAGGTCCAAGCCCCTCCCCATTAAACCAAGGCTGTTTAAGGTTTCACAGCTCAGGCACTGGGTTCCAGAAGTCTGCCCATAGACCAGGGACAGATCCTGATCCCCTGCCTAAGTGCCCCCCAAGCAGTTCGAGCCAAAAAATTATCTTTTGTATCCAGAAAACCTACCCCAGTCCCATGGGGGCTACACAGCCACCAATCCACACTTCATGGGCTTCCACTAATGTGGCCAGTCATCTCAGTTGCAGGTACTTATGATGAACTTGAGCATATATGAATTGCTATATTATCACCTTGTGTACATAAATTTCAATAGGAGATCAACATTCAGTTTCACACATGGAAAAAACTAAAGGATGTCCAATCAATCTTTGGCTTTGAATGAAGGGGGTTCTTAAGGGCTTCCCTTGTATTCCAGCAGAGGCTCCTGCAAAGGTCAGCTTGACTTCTGGTGTATTATGAGGAAAGATCCTTAGCCACAAAGTAATGTCAGTTCCCATGACATCTGCATTTGTTCCTTGGACATTCTACTGTATCCGGGAGAGCCCTGGCATCCTCTGTGAGGTCACTATGTTTTGGCCATACCCACTGTCCTTGGGAAGCCTACTCAATGTCTTCACCATTTACTGATGAACATGATGGCATACTGAAGAGTCTAAGTCAGAAAGAGATGGAGAGAGTAGAGAGACCAGAGAGTGACAGAAGAAAGCTGACCTTCAGCCTCAATGTAAAACATCAAGAAAGAAATAGTCAAGAGAATGGAGTCATGACTTCTGTGCAGGAAAATGGAAGCTTCCTGGAGGAAGTGGACTTGAGCTTAATCTTCCAATAATGGGCCTCAAAAAGCTGGAGTGTCTGGGAACCAACAGAACTTCCCTGCTTATTATGGCTCTTGAAATTCAAGGATTCCAGGATATTAATTTTTCTGGTTCCGAAGTCAGCAAATGGTAAGGCCAATGCTTTATGCTGGGAACTCTTGGCTTTCATTCTTTTTGGAGGATAGGCATTGATGAGTGAACATGAGAACAACATTAAAGTGGGAGGGATTAATGAGGTGTGCCCATTTTAAGGCAGTTCATCACTGTACTTCTACCACAGTGGCTAACTTTAGGTACTTGTCAGCTGCTCTGTGTGTCCTGTGTTGTCAGTGAGGTGACTTGTTGAGTCTGGTGACCATGTTCTGCCTTTATATGTCTTCCCCATCAATAGTTATATGGTTAGAGTAACTTGTAAAGATATTTGGCGAACCTCTAAATGACAGGGGTGATTGTGAACTATGGCAATTTTCTCCTAAATGATAAACCCACAGGCATATGGACTCTGCAGCCAATTTCAATTCTGAGTCTGCAGCTGTAATGAGGCTTAAGAAGCTATCTTCTTGGTTACTTGGAGCATGTGTTATGAGGACAGAGAGAACCAGATTGTAGATGTAACCAACCATTTTATTAAATAAGAAACACAGAACCAATCTAAAAGAAAAAGCCGAGAGGTCAGAGCTCAGAGCTAAAATCTCACCCTTCCTCGTGCGGTGGTACCACTCTCCAAAAGACAGCTACTTCCTGTGTGTATGTCTTTTCATAGTCTTTTTGTTCATGCCTTCTCATTGGATGTAAACCCAATCTCGAGAATGCCTCATCCCTGCCTGTATGTACAGCCCCCACCCCAGGTCTTAAAGGCATATGTCTCCAATGCTGGCTGTATCCCTGAACACACAGAGATCTACCTAGCTCTTCTACCAAGTGCTGGGATTAACGGCATGTGCCACCACCGCCACACTCTTGCTATGGCTATAATAGCTCTGACCCCTGGGCACCTTTATTTATTAACATACAATGAAAATCACATTTCAGTACAAATAGAATACCAACATATTTCCCCTTTTCTGTTTTAATAAAAAGAAAAAAGCAAAAGGTTATAACTAACAAAAGAAAACTATATACAAAAGTACAATAACGATATACAATTTATACAAGTAATAAATACCTAAAAAATGTCTAGTCCATTTGTATTTGACAAATCAGAGAAAATAATTCCATTATCTATCCTATTTCGGTAAGATCAAAATGTATCTACTTCACTTTCTATCCTAGTTAATCTTCAACTATAACAAGCCTTCAACTATAACTAACTAACCTTCAACTCCCTCAGAGACCCACGAAAGAAATAATATTAGCTAACAAAAATAAAAACAGGAAGTGCATGCAAGCAGCTTCCAAAAACTTTGTGAGTTGACAGAAAAAGCCAGCTGCCTGGACAGTCACCTGAGGTTTCTGCGCAGTGTTGGGGGATCATCTTCAGCCTATAGGCTTAGCATATCTCACAGACACATTTGTGAAGTAGGATGTAAACAAGATCAACAGTTTAACCTCACATTGGGTGAGAGCAGTCCATGTACCAGAAACACCTGAATTCCACTAGTATCATGTCATGATTCAGGATTTTAAATTCTGGAAATTGTGGATGGTTTTTGAATTCAGCTGTCCATTCTTCTTGGCTGTGTATATATGGATTCATCTCAGCATCCCGTTCTTCTGCACATCCCTCTATTAAATGCCAGTCTACTATTGAGAGGCCTGACCTTTCAGCTGCTGTTCCATTGCACAGCAGAAGCCATTGGCCCACTGCCTGTTCAGGTGCCTTTGAAGAAAAGGGCACTGTACCTTTTCTGGATTGCGAAGGCCACTTCAGGGATGGTGCCATATTGTCCTGGCCTCCAAAGATTCCTTTTGATAAAGCCATAACCACACTTGTTTTGGCAACAATCAGTAGTCCTTTGTTTTGTGTTTTGTCTTTCCATTTTGTCCTGTTGATTTGAGGATACTTTGTTGTCTAGTGTCTAACTTTTGCCACAATGAAAGTTGACTCCATATGCAGTTTCTTCAATGCCCATATTTTCTCTGAAGTAGATTGCCACTGCCAGGAGCCGACATGTCTCAAAAAAGAAAAATTTCTAAGTTAATAAAACATTTTAAATGCCATATTCTGTACATCTCTGAAGGGTTTGAAGATGACCTGTCTAAAATATATCTGCTCAATTTTTAAAACATATCTAATATGACTACAAGTTCTATTGTAATGTCTAACTACTAACTTTCATTTCCTTATATCCTAAGAGTTGGTAATAATAACATTCAAGGATCAGAAAATTACATTACATTGTTAAATGAATGGTATAAATACAATTAGAAATACACATATAGCATTTTCTTACAATATCAATTTCAAATTTGTATACAATATAAAACAATCCAATCCAATGTAAAGTATTTAAAACTAGTAATTGTCTTTTTTTTTCTTTTTTTTAAACAAGAACCTTAAAACTAATCTCTTTTGTTGTCCATAATTTTTCTGTCCATAATTTTTCAATGTCCTCCTTAGTTAAAGGTACGAAAATTTCTTCTGGGTCTATTACTGCTAACTGACGAAGTCTCAATTTTCCTTTATAAATCCAGTCAGAAATTTTTTTCCACATAAGTTTTAAATTTTTTATTTGGTTTATTTGGTAAAAATATACATTCCAATATAATATCTTCTCTCTGCCTTAATATTCCAGTAGGAGAATGCCTAGAAGGTAAAATAACCAAAATGCAATCCAGTTTTAGATCAATACGATGCACATGCCCTTCATGTACTTTCTTTTCTACCAAGGCCAATTCTTTCTCAGCTTCAGGTGATAATTCTCTTGGACTATTTAAGTCCTTGTCACCTTCTAAGGTTTTGAACAATGAGAGTGAAATTGATGAGATCTACATGAACAAACTGGAGTTTGTTTGGCAGGAGTGTAATGGAGAGCAAGTGTCAGACGAAAGAGCTTAGTGGAGCGGGAGGTCCCTGCCGGATAAGGAACAGAGTGGGAGACAAGGAAAGAGACGCCATAGTAAATGAAGACCCCATGGGAATAATAATAATAAGAGTGCTAGAGAGGTCCCCAGAAATCCACAAAGATTACTCCACCATAGACTACGGGCAATGGTGTTGAGAGTGCCTTAGATGACCTGCTCTGGTGATCAAATGTCCAAACACCCTAACTGTCATGATAAAATTCTCATCTATCTGATGGAAGCAGATGGAGAGATCCATGGCCAAACCCCAAGTGGAGCTCCAGGAGTCCAATCAACATGAGACAGGAGGGATTGTGTCAGCAAAAGATATTGAGACAATGATTGGCTAAAGCACATGGATGAATAGACAAACTAGTAGAAATGCATGAACTATGAACCAATTGGTGAGGAGCCCCCATGGAACTGGACTAAGCCCTCTGGATAAGCAAGACAATTGATTAGCTTGAACTGTTTAGGAGGCCCACACACAGTAGGTCCAGGAAGTCTCCTTGGAGCATGAGCTGGCTTTTTGGAACCTAGGGTTTATGCTGGGACACTTTGATCAGCCTAGGTGAAGAAAGGAGGGGATTGGACCTGCCTCAACTGAATCTACTAGGCTGACATTAATCCCCAGGAGAGTCCTTGCCCTGAAGAAGGGAATGGGGGTGTAGTGGGGGGAAGGCATGAGGGGCAGGAGGAGAGAGGAAAGGGGAATACATAGCTGATATGTAAAATTAAATTAATTATAAAAATAAAAAATAAGTAAAGTGTTTCTCCCATTAAAGTTCTAAAAATATCTGTTTTTGCAAGCTTTGCTGACTCTGATTTTTACTCTACCATGTAACGCGATCATATTAAATTCTGATTTTTTCCAATGGAAAAACTTTTACAATTCCCAAACATATTCTGTTACAGTAGTTTATTTAACCCCCCAATTTTAATTGTGGTGATCCACTTCCACTCAACCAAGCAAACCTTCCACATGGGAATAGCAAGACAGAGAAGAAAATATTAATAGCTGGACTCAATATATAATACATGAATTCTCTTAAGTCACCAAAATCATTTATGTGCTTCACAGTAGGAACAGGTGGCACTTATTTGTTATTAGATTAGCCAGATAAGAATTAGAATTCTGAGATTGGAACAGGCAAACACAACTCTATATTTAGGATCAAACATGTTGATTTCTACCTTCCCTTTCCATCTTCTTTGCTTTTATCATCTGAAAGTGGTTAATAAAGAATTCCTAGTTGGTGAGTTGTTCCAAATGGCAAAGGACAATAGCCATGCACAACAATTGGTAACAGTCATGAAGAGAAGTGTTAATTTTTTTTACCATGTGAAGTGGTTCTCTGCTCTAAAGCAGCATTTACAGCATTTTTTATAAGTTTAGGATCTGATTCCTCTGTTCTCAGAAAGAGATGTTCACCAGAAAGACATGTGCAGCTTAGCTCATATAAATTCTAGCTTATCACAATCATCAAAAAACATACAAACAAACAAATAGGCAAATAGAAGTCCCACTTACGAAGGAAGTGATTTTATAAGTCATGCCTTGGGTCAGCACCCATCTCCATGGTGCATCCCAACCCATCTTTCTCTAGGTACAAGAAACTGACATGCAGAGAGGCTAAACTGCCGAAGACATAACCAAGAATTTCCTGGGGGTGCCTGCTGTCCTGTCCTGGTTTTGCACTCTGTTCCTCACACCTGCATTCTAAATCTGTACCTGTGGTTATTTCAGTTCCTAGCCCAAGATATTATTCTCCTTGTATAGCATTTGATGTAGCTCAAAAGGGCCTGTTACAGGTCCTAGGAGAAGGACAAAATCAAAGTGACTTTTCACATCTGATAAGGTCTATTTACCTTTGAAGGAGGAAATTCGTCAAAGATCTGTTTACAGAAACCTTAATAAAGAAGCACAGAAATTAGAAGGATACAAAGAAGATTTCACAGGTATGTGTGTACACCAGCCCTGGACTTAATCTCCAACCTAAGGTAACTAGTGGATACATTGGCAGTCATTACTTATACCCCTGCATGCCTGGAAATTAAGGAGCTACTTTGCTTATAGCTTTAAGGAGCTTCTTCTGACCTTCAAGGAAGAACATAGCATAAGATTGAAATTCATAGTCAAGGCAGTGAATTCATATCCAATTCCCCATATTCATAAATTTTAATGGGCAGGAAATTCAAAGAAAATTTTATTCATAGAACTGAAGCTTGTTGTATATAACACATTAGAAAAATTTAGCATAGTACTTTATATGGCAAGACAATATTAGGGGACAATTTGACAGGGTGAAGTGGTTTGTGAGTCTATGGATGTCACTGTGTCTTTGTAAAATTGTGACAGGGAAACACAGGTTGGGTTCAGGAGGAAGTAGGGTCTCTTCTTCTGAGACAGATATGGTGCTGTTGAGCATTTCTTGAAATACACATCTCACTGACTTATGAAACCCCCTCTGTCATAGAGTGCTTTCTTAGCATCTTTATTACATTGAGTTATCAGGCACAGCAACTTAGAATGGGAAGAATTGATCATAGCCCACAATTCCAGGTACAAGTTCCATTTTTGTTAAATTGAGGAAAGAACTCACTAATCATATCACATTCACAGCCAAGAGCAGAGATAAACAAATGTTCCCCTGCTGCCTGTTTGCTTATGCTTATGCTCGAGCTTCTTCATATGTACACAGTACAGGTTGCTGACAATGAAATGATTCTGCCCATTTTAGGGACTCTTATCTCAATTAACAATTGATAAAAATCCCACAGAGACATGTTGAAAGTAAATCTGATCTACATAATTCTTCATTGAGGGACCCTCTTCCCAGATGATTAGTTTGGTTCAGTCTGATAATAAAAACTAAGAATCACACTGCCCCAGCATCATAGCCAGGATTTCTGCCTGCATTCAGAGCTGTGGTCCTCAATGTGTGGGTCACCACCCCATTGGGGGTTGCATATCAGATATCTTGCAATCAAATATTTGAATTATGTTTCATAACATTAGCATAATTAAAGTTAAGAAACAATGAAACAATTGTGTTTACGGTTCACCAAGACATGAGGAACACTGTTAGTGCTATTTAATGGGTCAGACAATTGGAAAAATTGAAAAAGATTGATCTGAAATGTCCAGTGGAACCCTAGTGTCTATATTTCTAAATATGAATGGGCTTGCAAAGGATTTTCCTGAATATCCTTTGCTCTATAGGAAACTTATGTCCTGTGTGGAATTCTCCAGCTGTCTGGCAACATTTACTACCCAGTAACAGCAGACCACTTTGAGCTACTCAACTGAGAGTATAACAGCAACTACACACATGCTGATGACACAGATTTTAGTCACACTGAACTCCATGACCATATCACACTCCAATGGTTACTTGTTCCTATTCTGTGTCTTCCTCTTCCTCTAGCATAACTCTGCCCAGATGTTTTCTGTAGATTCTTTACCAGGAAATTGACAAGTGTCCTTCTCAGTCAGCATTAAGTCTAAAATGTCTCCTGCCTAAGGAGATAAGAAAATGCAGGTATATAAATTTCTATGATATTATTATTTTGTGTACATAAATTTACTGTAGGAGATAAACATTCACTTCAACACATGGAAAGAACTAAGGGATTTCCAAATAATTTGGTAGTGATCTTTGTCTTTGGATGAAGGGTGTGTTGACATGATTCCCTTGTATCCCAGCAGAGGCTCATGCAAAGGTCAGCTTGACTTCTGGTGTATTATGAGGAAAGCTCATTAGTAGGGAAGCAATGTCAGTTCCCATGACATCTGCAGATGTTCTCTGGACATTCCATTGTATCCTGGAGAACCCTGGCATCCTCTGTGATGTCACTTATGTTGTGGCAACACTCCTGCCCTTGGGAATCTTATTCAATATCTTCACCATTTACTCATGAACATGATGACATACAGAAGAGTCTAATTCAGAAAGAGATGGAGAGAGTAGAGAGAGCAGAGAGTGACAGAAGAAAGCTGACCTTCAGCCTCAATGTAAAACATCAAGAAAGAAATAGTCAAGAGAATGGTGTCATGACTTCTGTGCAGGAAAATGGAAGCTTCCTGGAGGAAGTGGACTTGAGCTGAATCTTCCAGTAATGGGGCCCAGAAAGCTGGAGTCTCTGGGAACCAACAGAACTTCCCTGCTTGTCATGGCCTTGATATTCAAGGATTCCAGGAAATTAACTTTTCTGGCTCCAAAGTCAGCAACTGGAAAGGCCAATGCTTTATGCTGGGAACTCTTGGCATTCATTCTTTTTGGAGGATAGGCATTGATGAGTGAACATGAGACCAACATTAAATTGGGAGGGATTAATGATGTGTGCCCAATTCAAGGCAGTTTATCATTGTACTTCAATGACAGTGGCTAACTTTAGGTACTTCCCAGCTCTTCTGTGTGTCCTGAGTTGTCAGTGAGGTGACTTGGTGAGTCTGGTGACCATGATCTGCCCTTATGTGTCTTCTCTAAAATAGTTATATGGTTAGAGAGACTTGTAAAGATATTTGGGGAACCTCTAAATTACTGGGGTGATTGTGAACTATGGCAATTTTCTCCTGACTCGTAAACCCACAGGCATATGGACTTGCAGCCAAATTGAATTCTGAGTCTGCATCTGTAATGCAGCTTAATGTCTTAAGAGGCTATCTCCTTGGTTACTTGGAGCATGTGTTATGAGGACAGAGAGAACCAGATTGTAGATGTAACCAACTGTCTTATTAAATAAGAAACAGAACCAATGTAAAAGAGAAAGCCTAGAGGTCAGAGCTCAGAGCTAAAATCTCACCCTTCCTCCTGTGGTGGTCCTAGCTCTCCAAAAGAGAGCTACTTCCTGTGTGTATGTATTTTAATAGTCTTTTTGATCTGCCTTCTCATTGGTTGTAACCCCAAACACGTGACTGCCTCATCACTGCCTATATGTACAGCCCTCCAGTTGTTAAAGGTTATGTCTCCAATGCTGGCTGTATCCCTGAACACACAGAGATCTACCTAGCTCTTCTACCAAGTGTCAAGATTAAAGGCATGTGCCACCACTGCCACACTCTTGCTATGGCTCTAATATCTCTGACCCCCAGTCAACTTTATTTATTAACATACAATTGAAATCGCATTTCAGTACAATAGAATACCACCATATTTCCCTTCTTCTCTTTTAATAAAAAGAAAAAAATCAAAAGGTTATAACTAACAAAAGAAAAACTATATACAAAAGTACAATAACTATATACAATATATACAAGTAATAAATACCTAAACAATGTCTAGTCCATTTGTAATTGACAAATCAGAGAAAATAATTCCATTATCCTATTTTGGTAAGTCCAAAATGTATCTAATGCATTTTCTATCCTAATTAATCTTCAACTATAACTAACCTTCAACTATAACTAATCTTCGACTCCCTCAGAGACCCACGAAGGAAATAATATAAGCTAACTAAAATAATAACAAGAAGTGCATGCAAGCAACTTCCGAAAAATTTGTGAGTTTACAGAAAAAGCCAGCTGCCTGGACAGTCACCTGAGGTTTCTCTGCAGTGTTGGGGCATCATCTTCAGCCTATAGGCATATCTTATCTGACAGACTTATTTGTGAAGTAGGATGAACACAGGTCAACAGTTCAACCTCACATTGGGTGATAGAAGTTCATGTACCAGAAACACCTGAGTTCAACTAGTATCATGTCATGATTCAAGATATTAAATTCTGGAAATTGTGGATGGTTTTTGAATTCAGCTGTCCATTCTTCTTGTCTGTGTATATATGGCTTCATCTCAGAATCCTCTTCTTCTCCACATCCCTCTATCAAATGCCAGTCTACTATTGAGAGGCATGAGCTTTCAGCTGCTGTTCCACTGCACAACAGAAGCCATCAGCCCACTGCCTGTTCAGGTGCCTTTAAATAAAGGGCACTGTACCTTTTCTGTATTGGGAAGGCCACCTCAGGGATAGTGCCATATTGTCCTGGCCTCAGTAGATGCCTTTTGATAAAGCCAAAACCACACTTGTTTTGGCAACAATCAGTAGTCATTTGTTTCGTGTCCTGCCTGTCCATTTTGTCCTGTTTTTCGAGGATACTTTGTTGCCCAGTGGCTAACTTTTGCCACAATGAAAGTTGGCTCCATATGCAGTTTATTTAATGCTCATATTTTCTCTGAAGTAGAGTGCCACTGCCAGGAGCCGACATGTATCAAAAAAAAAAGAAAAATTTCTAAGTTATTAAAACATTTTAAATGCCATATTCTGTAGATTTCTGAAGGGTTTGTAGATGACCTGTCTAAAACATCTCTGCTCAATTTTTAAAACATATCTAATATGACTACTAGTTCTATTGTAATGTCTAACTACTAACTTTCATTTCTTTATATCCTAATAGTTGGTAATAATAACATTCAAGGATCAGAAAATTGCATTACATTGTTTAATCAATGGTATAAATACAATTAGAAATACACATATAGCATTTTCTAACAATATCAATTTCAAATTTGTATACAATATAAAACAATCCAATCCAATGTAAAGTATTTAAAACTAGTAATTGTCTTTTTTTCTTTATTTTCTAAACAAGAACCTTAAATCTAATCTCCTTTGCTTATCCTTTTTCCTAACCCTTGACAACAACTTGTAACCAACCCCCCTAAACAACGAAAATTATTCCAGACCCCAAATCCATTAAACAGACCAAAAAACCACCTGTCCCACACCACCTTTTCGGGAATGTGGGCGTCATATTCTTAAAATTGTTTCCTGCTGGGTATTGGCGAAGTTATCTTTATCCTGAAAGAAAATTTTTAGGTTAATTGTCAAATTCTAGGAAAGGTAACTATATCTTTCATTATCCAATCTGTGTATAATGCCAAAGCTCAGGGTTTATCTCAAATCCTTATTAAAGTAGTCTTTGAGGCTGGATCATCTCAGCTAGTCATCTCAAAATTGCTCAGAGCACCTTGTAGTTCAAAGATGATCTGTAGATGATGTTTGTCAGCTTAATGATATTATTATTGTCCACGTGGAATTGTTGTTGTGGGGCCCCATCTTCTTTCTGGAGAGTTCATTTGATGTTAGGCCTGGCCGTGATTTCCTGCAGAAAACTGATAAGAGACTCGAACACAAAGACATATATATGCAGCTAATTGAAGCCTTTGTTTTCTAGAATTATTTAGTAATCTATATG